AAATTCTGGGATGTGGGTCATAGAGGATCCTGCTGTGATTTATGTCGGAGAGTGTTTTGCCTATGTTCTCCTCTAGGAGTTTTATAGTTTCTGGTCTTACATTTAGATCTTTAATCCATTTTGAGTTTATTTTTGTGTATGGTGTTAGAAAGTGTTCTAGTTTCATTCTTTTACAAGTGGTTGACCAGTTTTCCCAACACCACTTGTTAAAGAGATTGTCTTTTCTCCATTGTATATTCTTGGCAGGTGAATTCTTAATGATTGAGCCACCAGGCGGTCCTACAGGATTCTTAACGAACAAAACTCCATTTCATAATGCCCTGTATGGGGTCAATCACAGCTTCCTTTGATAGTAAATCCCACCTCTTAGTAGCTCTTATGGCATTTCGATTGGTCATGGTTCATCACTCTGCCACTTGCCTCATTCAAACTCTTCCCTATTAGAGCCTCAGAATGAACCCTTCCCCCTCACGTGAGACACCTGGTGCTGGGGGCCTCCTTCCTTCTGCAGGGAGCCCCTGGTGGTACCTGCGTGCCTCACCCAGTTCTAGAGGAATCTGAGAAAGGAGGAGCCTCCAGGTGTAGATGTAGGAAGTTCACTCCAGCTTTGCCTCTTAAGCTTTGATGTGTCCTTTAGTCCTGTAACTCCATGCACTGTGTTGTACATCAAGTCTCTAGAACTCTTTCTTCTTGCAACTAAAACTTTTTTTTTTCATTTCAACTAAAACTTTATATCCTTGAACAGACGCTCCCCGTATCAACCTCCTCCCAGCTCTTAGAACCACCCTTCTACTCTCTGCTTCTCTGAGTTTTCCTTTAGATACCTCAGTTAAGTGAAATCATGCACTATTTGTCCTTCTGTAACTGGCTTATTTCACTCTAACTAATGTCATCCAGCTTCATCCATATTGCTGCCAATGACAGGATTTCATTCTTTTTTAAAGATTGTATCACATTCCACTCTATGTATACACCACATTTTCTTTATTGTTTCATCTGCTTCTGGACACTGGGCAGTTTTTCTATCTTGGTTATTGGGTACAATGTGGCCATGGATATGAGATTGTAGATACCTCCTGGACATTATAGTTTTACTTCTTTTGGACATAAACTCTAATGAGTCATTCCTGGATCTTATGATATTTCTCTTAATAATTTTTTCAGGGACTCCCAAACTGTTTAACCTAATGGCTATGCCATTTTACATTCCTACCAACAGGATGCAAAAGTCTCACTTCTCGTCCTTGCCAACAACTGTTGTTCTTCTTTTTTTATATATAATACACATCCAGAAAGGTGATATCTCCTTTTAACTTGGTTTCCATTTCACTGATAGTGATATTGAGCACTTTTCCTATGTATATTGATCACTTCTATGTCTTCTATGATGAAATGTCTATTGAGCTTTTTAAACATTTTTAAACTCAGTTATTTCCCTGCTGTTGTTTTGAAGTTGAGTTATAGTAGTTTCTTCTATATTCTGGACATTGGCCTCTTTTTCAGGTACAAAATTTGCAAATAAGTCCTCTCATTCTACAGGTTGCCTTTTTATTCTACTAGTTGTTAAGGAGACTATCCTTTTTTCACTTGGTAATTTTAGAACCCTGGCAAAAGTTATTTGACCACACACGTGTGAATTTGTTTGAGATTCCCTTCTTATGGTTCACTGGTCTCTCTGCCTATTTTGTTGCCAGTAGAACATTGTTTTGACTTCTGTGGCATTATTATGTACTTCGAATTCAGAAAGCCTGAAATCACCATTGTTGTTCTTTATTCTCAAGATTGTTTTTTCTCTTTGGACTTCTTTTGGGTTCCAGAAGTATTATATTTTCAATTTTTTTTTCCATTTCTATAAAAGTCACATGGGACTTTGTGAGTGGTTATTACACACACACACACACACACACACACACACACACACACACACACACCACTTTTAGTAGTATAGGAAAGTCAACAACACTAAATATTCCAGTCTATGAATATGGGAAAAGTGAAAGTTAGTCACACAGTCATGTCTGACACTTTGTAATCCTATGGACTATAGCCTGCCCAGCTCCTCTGTCCAAGAGACTGAAGCCCTTATGATAGCTCTCAGGTCCACTCTAAAACAGCTGAAAAAAATGCCCAGAGGGACCCAAGTGAAAAGGGACAGACTTGCTATTAGTGTGGAAAGTGGGGACACCTCAAGCAGGATTACTCTCAGGCATCTAATCCACCCCCAGCTCCATGTACAGTCTGCAAAGGACCACACTGGAGAAGAGACTGCCCTCAGAGTCCAAGGCCCCAGGGCCCAAACTCACCAGACAATCATGACTGAAGGTCCTCAGGGTATCCCACACAAGCTCCCATCCTAATTACACTAGAGGAACCCCATGTTTTAATTGGGGGTTTTAATTGGGTTTTAATTGGGGGCCAATCAGTAAGTTACCTTTTGGACACTGGGGCAACTTACTCTGTGTTTACTAAAGTCCCTGGTCCACTGTCTCCCAGATCAGCTACCATGATGGGACTCTCTGAATGAGCCAAACACTATTATTTAGTCATCCTTTAAGCTGCAACTGGAACTCTATGCTATTTTCTCACCAGTTTTTTATCATGCTGGAGTCTCTCTCACCATTCTCAGGAGGGGTATACTGAGGTTCAGGCCTCTGTTTTCATGAAAATGGAGCCTACATTTTCTCTCCCATTAATTGAACAAAATGTAAATCCTAGAGTGTAGGCTGATGGAAAAACTGTGGGTCAAGCACAAAATGCTATCCCTGTCATTATCAAGCTCGAAGACCCTCACCTATTTCCACACCAAAAGCAGTATCCTCTAGAACCTGAGGTTAAGAAAAGGTTAAAAGCTATCATTGAGAATATAAAGGAGCAGGGGCTATTATTAATTCCCTGTAACAGTCCATGCAACACTCCTATTTTGGATGTAACAAAGTCAAATGATAAACAGAGACTAGCTCAAGATTTACAAATAACAAATGAGACTTTTTTGGTTCTTTTACATCCCGTGGGCCCTAATCCTTAAATGCTACTGTCTGAAATTCCTGAATGAGCCAAAACTTTTTCAGGCATTGACTTAAAGGATGCTTTCTTTTCTACAAGGGACAAGGGCCATAGGCCCCGAGAGAATGAAGCCTATACTAAATCATCAATTGAGAGGACTTGGGGGCATCACAGGCTACTGCCACATGGGGATTCTGTGTTATGGGAGCTTGCCCAGCCTTTATATAAACTTTTAACTGAAACTTAACAAACCCAAACCAACAACCTGGTTTGGTGTCCAGATACTCAAAAGGATTTTAAGGCTTTTCAAACTGCTCTCCTGCAAGCTCCCACTTTGAGCTTGCCCACAGGATCAGAGTTTAATCTGTTAGTTACTGAAAAGAAAGGTATGGCCTTGGTAGTGACTACACAACTCCAAGGGTCTCACCAACCACCTGTAGCACATCTAAATAAAGAATATAATAGTAATTGCTGCTCTTCCTTTATGCGTGCTTAAAGCTCATAAGTTTACTAGTGGGCAAAACTTAACTGTACTGACTCCTCATGATGTGAGTGTAATCTTAAACTCTAAAGTTAATACTTGGTTGACAGACAGTTAGCATCTTAAATATCAGTCATTGCTGTTGGAAGGACCGATAACTAAGCTTAAAGATTGTGGAAACTTAAATCCTGCCACTTTCCTTCTTAAGAAGGAAAATGAAACATCCAGTCAGGATTGTTCCCAATTTTTAAGTCTGAACTACGCAGCTTAGGAAGATTTAATGGATAATGAGCTGGATAATGAGCCCAGGATAATGAGCTGGTTTACTGCCAAGTCAGAAAAGTGACACTTTACAAACCCTCTTCACTACAGACATCTTTCCTTTGATCTGGACAGGTTCTGTTGAACAGGAAAAACCACAACATGCTGAGGAAGAATTAGAAAGATATGAGAAAAGAGGAGCAAAGATGACTGATAAAGGATGGTTACACTTCAAGGGTGGACAATTAATAACTCCTGAAAATGTTTAACAAAAAATTCTTAAAGGCTTACACCAGAGTTTTCCTAAAAACCTTGGAGTTAACTGACTATGTGACTCAACTTTCACCTTTCCAGCAAACATTAGAGGAACTCTGGGAGGTGACTCCTGATCCAGCTTCTGATTCAAACAAGCCGCTGTTTGAGCCAGGAACCGAGGTCTTGATAAAGACACTGGGGTCTGGGGGGCAATCTCTTGAGTCCCTCTGGAAAGGTCCTTATCAGGTTATTCTTTCTTCTCCCACAGTTGTCAAGGTGCCAAGAATTGATTTGTGGGCACATCCTGACCCCAGACTAAGTGATGTCATTTTTATGGCTTTATTCTCTATGCTTTCGATTTCTACTTTT